ACCCTTTTGAAACTAGTCGTGCCTTATATCGATGAACTGAGCCATTTGGATTACGCTTCAACTTGAACAACCATTTACAACCCACTGCAACTCATACTGGTGGCAACTTAACAAGCTCCCAGTTTCATTCTTCTTCTTAGCATCAAACTTATCCTTAACTGCAGCAACCCAATTTGGAGACTGTAGTGCTTCACTAACCATTGAAGAAACTTCTTTATTAAAAAGACTTGAGTAAGCTTTAGGGTTAAAAATACCACACTTTCTCCTTGTGAGCATCGGATGACAGTTTATGTGGGATGCACCAACCTCAGGTAAAACTTCATTATTGGCATTAGATTCGGCAGCAACATTGGTAGGAGCAGGTAAACTAGTAGACTCAGCTACAACTTCCTCTAAAGAGTTTACATTATTATTTCTTGTAGATATAATAGTGTTATCACTAGCCATACAAGGAACAACAGTACGACTAGACTGCACCGATGAACCTGACACAGAACTTGGGATACCAGCTGCACCACTCGATGAACCTGCCCCATAATTGCATTGTACACCAAGACCAGGCAGCTGTTGAATATTGGTGACAATATCACGTGCTTGTCACTGTTGGTCCTTAACCACAAGTGACTTGACTGAAACAACTTTCCCTGCAAAAGGAAATATACCTCATTAAAAATAACGTGTCTAGAAATATAAACTCTCCCATCAGCTGCTAAGCACTGAAAACCCTTGTGTTGGGGGCTAACACCTAGATACGTACATGGATGAGACTGAAATGCAAGCTTGTGAGCTTGAAAAGGTCGCAAGTAAGGAAAACACTAACAACAAAAAACCTCTAGTTTACTATAATCCGATTTCTTCACTAATAATTTCTCAACAGGGGAGACCCCCTGCAGTATCTTGGTGGGTATCTTATTGATCAACTGAAATGTAGCAACAATGGCATAGAACCAATACTCAACTGGTAGAGATGCATGTGCCAACAATAAAAAGGCCAATTAAATTAAGTGTCGATGCTTTCGCTCAACAACATCGTTCTACTCTGACGTGTGAGGGCATAACACCTTGTGAATAATACCTATCCTAGATAGCATGACGAGAGGCTACGAAATTCACCACCCCAGTCACTCTGAACCACTTTAACTGAAGCACCAAACTGAGTAGCTATCATTTTCTGAAACAACTAAAATGTTGTAGTGGCCTAAGATTTATTTTTCAGAAGATAGATACATGTATGTCGAGTACACGCATAAAAAAGAGATAGAATCAAAATCCATTAAAGGAAACATGTGGATGTCCCCACAAATCAGTATAAATAAGCTGTAAAAGAGTTTCATAAATTGTATTTGATTGCACAAAACGAAATTTGTGATTTTTGCCCATTTGACAAGCAATACAAGTTTTATTAACATCCATAGTAATCTTTACACCAAGTTCTCTAGCAATCTGAACTAAAGTATCACTAGAGGGATGACCAAGCCTTCGATGCCACAGTTCATCCATCTCACTAGAAAAAATTGGAGGTAAGGTTAACATTAGCACCAACACACCAATCTTCACTTCCATCTTTATTTTTCATAAAAGAGTAAAGTCCATCAGCCCCCTCACCAGTCAAGAGCACTTCTCCAGTAATCTAATCACACACACAGAAGCTATTGGAATGGAACTCAAAGAATATTGTTGTCCCTAGCAAGCTTAGAGACTGAAAACAAGTTCTTCGTTATGTGAGGAACATGTAATTAATCATGCAACAACAAAACTCTAGATGAAGCAGGTAATACCAAATCACCAACCATTCTAATATCTAGAGAAACACAATTACCAACTGTAAGTTTACATGGACCATGAAAATTAGAAGGATTCACTAGGTTTGTCCTATCTGGAGTTACGTGATGAGTGGTACCCGAGTCCACCACCAAACGCTCATGAGATGCATCAACAATATTCACTTAAGACTGCATGGTCCCTTGAGAGTCCAACATCCCACGAAAGCAATACTCACAACTTTAACTGCCACCACTAGAGCATAACCAGGCGATGAGTATATAATGGTTGAATTATCATCGGAAGCAGAACGATTGTTGACCGAAACACAAGAGAAATCTTCATCAAATCGATGCTAAAAATGGTCAACCAAGTGGCCAAGCTTCTGGAAAAGGTGACACTGCATAGCGTTCGACCTCTCCCTCAACCACCATTTCTTGCACCAGATCTGTGATCCTGACAGTTAGAAGAACCACGACCAACATCACTCTGAGAAAAATTAGCAATAATGGGAAAAGTTTCCTGTTGTTCATTAAATCCGGTCAGCTGCACCTTAGCATCCATTAACATAGTATATATGTTATCTAACGAGAGAGCCTCTTTCATGGTAGAGATAACAACCATGAACGGCTGATATTCACGAGGAATACCCTTCAAAATACTCATAATCTTTTCGACTTGAGGAACTACACTTCCACACGAAGCAAGAGCATCACATACCTCCTTAACACACATAAGATAAATGTGCATGATGTCATTTCCTTTTCTCATGGACTGCAACTTATAGTGAAGACTCATAACGACCATGGTAGTGAGGTTTGCAAAAAACTTGAGCACCGTCTCCTAAACCGTAGCAGCAGTTTCAGCTCCAACAAACTGAGGTAGAAGATGTGGACTAACTGTAGATAGCAACCAGGACACAAGTGCACTATCTTGTACAATGAAGTCTTCATACGACTCATTTGCTTGGATCTCACCATTTTCATCAAGAACATTCATCAGTTGTAGAGAAACAACACCGGTCAGCAGCTACTCCAGACGATGACTCCGAATCGTGAGCAAGATATGTTGTTTCCAAAGCAAGAAGTTGGATTCATCAAGAATCACATTTACTTTCTTGTTGGTAAACCCTCAAGAAGCACTAGAAGAGATATCCAAGAGCAAAGAGCCAAACAAAAACATTCTTTTCACGAACGGAAGCGAGAGCAAAGAATCCCAAGACCAGTAGCAAAATGTACCATGTTAAGATATCAGGAAAAAGAAGAATATACCAACGTTTTATTACTGAAAACAATGTTTCTATGAGTACACAGTGGTAGTTGTTTATATACAACTCATACAATCTGTTATAAGCCTAACAGACTCCCCAACCACTCTAACAACCTCAACCACCATTAACAACCTCAACGGTCATATACAACACATTCACAATACTGCTAATATACGTTGTGTCGATAATAGAAGAATGATGTGAGATTCGTCCATACCAGTTTAAGTGACGATGTTGTACGACTCGAAGAACATTAGAAAGTTGGATACATTCTGAGCTGGTAGCATGATAATGTGGATTATGGTTTTACCGGACTTTAAAAAAACTAAATACATTGATAAGATTAAAAGAACAAACATGTTAAACTTATATATTCAAAGTCAATAACAACTTCATAAATATTGACCACAATGATTAGTTGAAACAAAGAAACATGTTTTATAAAGTGTGTAACAGATGCATTCATGCATGAATCCAACGAAACTTCACAAACCTATAAGATTCAGATTTTTGGTCAATTGTTATCTGAATTTTATGTTTCAACAACAGTAATAAGAAATTGCTTCTAAATTGTTGGAAAACAATACTGTTGAAAAACAAAATCCTTAGCAATGATTATCAAATAATAATCAAATGATGACAAAAATAGATCGATTTATTGTGTCGTGGTATGGAAGCCACTGCCTCAGAAGCAATTTCGTCCGGATTAATGTAATCTAGAAAGTGGACGTTGCCCCTCAAGATTAACACAGTCTTCCAAACCTTGTACACTTGAAGTGAGGAAGTGGAAACCACTTGTGTTGCTCTCTACGATCAGAAACTTTTTAAGAAGGAAATACAAAAGCCATCAATTGTATGTAAAATTAGGGAGATACATATCCTTTTTATAGGAGTGGTAAAGGGGTAAAATTGTCAATTGATAATTATCCGCTCCAACCACACCCTAAAAATAGATAACATACTCTTAGAATATCCCTTAATATTGTAACAAGTACAAAGTAGTACTTATTAAAAAATAACTCAAAATTATTTGACATTGAACTTTCACACATCTGATATTCATAGTACTCAGAATAAAAATAATTTCTTTACCACTGATGTCGCTTAGTTCTTATAATATATAAGTTTTTTAACCACATCTACAATGATAAAGTTGATGACCGCTTGAGTAGGACCATTTCTCCCCTATAATTTTTTTTAATTCTTTGAACGTTCAAATATTTGTCAAATTATGCCTTCCTCAAATTTGTTTGAAGTTTAAATGTTTATCATGTCCCTAATGACTTTAAAATCGGATAATCTAATATCTATAAGAATTTAATTTTAATTTTGTTTCTATTTTCTTATAATAATTATTGGATGAGTTTAAAAAACTTTATTTTACCCTAATCATAAATGAATATAAATATAAATAAAAATATATTTATAAAAGTTTATTCAATAAATACTTATGAAATGGTATATGATATGTATGCAAATATATTTGTTTAGTGTTTGAATCTTAATTTTAGTTGTTGTAATTAAAATTTATATAAAAATTAATAAACAAAACTAATTTTATAATAATATTATTTTCAAAATAAAAATATTTTAATTAATTTTCAATTGAATTAATTAATTAAATTAATTAAATTATGTTCTTTAATAAATAAAAATAAAATAATGTTAATCAGTTAATCACCTAACATAGGAAACACTGGCCGCAGTCTCAGACAGCTTAATGTGGTCCCGATTCATTACATTCGCCATCCACTCAGTAATCGCTGCACTGACCGATCAATTTTCAATCGAACGACTGTAGTCCTTCCACGCCCACATATCATTAGCCATTGATTAACAAAACTTCTCATGGCTGCTATTAGTCCACGCTCACTTCTTTACATCCCTTGGATGCAGAACCAATCCAACGGTTTTTATTCTTTCTGCAACACTGCATCAATCTTCTAATTTCGTTCCACAAACATTAATATCCCGCTTTTTTGCCCAAACCAAAAATCGAAGAAGAAGAAGAAAAATCTCTCAACTCTCCTTAAAAAACATTTTTTTACACGAAGAGATGCAAGAACAAGGAACCAGTTCAATTGCAGCTAGTTCCTTGCCCTCGAGCAGTGAAAGATCTTCAACCTCAGCCCTTCAAATTGAAGTCAAAGAAAGTAAGTTTTTTTCTCCTTTTTTAACTTTTAATTTCGTTTAACTTTTTAAAATCTCAAGGTAAAATGGTTTATTTTTGGTCCTTGACGCTTTTTTCTTATTTATTTTGGAAAAAAAAGGTACTAAACTTATCACCATCTGGGTTTAGTTAGTAGAAAATGGTTTTTGCAAAGGTTTCAGCGTACTGAGGTTTACTGGTTTCTTTTTTCTCGAGGAATTGCATCGAGATCAACCGCATTTTCATTGATTATATTGAAAATCCGATCTGTATTTTTTTGTTTCTCAAGGCATGGAAAGTGATGAAGAGATCCGGAGAGTGCCTGAGATAGGAGGAGAAGCGTCGGCAACTCCGGCAGCCAGTAGAGAAGCCGGTTCAGTGACCCGGCCGGACCGGGTCCAGACATCAGGAGAGGGCGGTCAGAGAAAGAGAGGAAGGAGCCCAGCGGACAAAGAGAACAAGCGCTTAAAGAGGTAATATTTGCATTTTGGATATTTTTTTCTTTCGGAAAGGCAGTGGCATTTGAGCAGTATTCATTGATTTGAGATTTGTGGGAATTGGAGAAGGTTATTAAGGAACAGAGTTTCGGCGCAGCAAGCAAGGGAGAGGAAGAAGGCGTACCTGAATGAGCTGGAGTCGAGAGTTCGAGACTTGGAGAAGAAGAACTCTGAGCTTGAAGAAAGGCTTTCCACGTTGCACAACGAGAATCAGATGCTTCGACAAGTAAATCACTTTCCCCATTACATCATCCGTCACCAGCTTATAATTATTTCTCTTTTGGAATTTAAGCAATTGGGTTATTCACCATCGTTATTGCCATCACTTTTATCATCAGTTTTGGCAAATCACATGAACACACTGTAATTTGCCTCACAAAGTAATGGTGAGTAAGTTAGGGTTTAGGGATTAAAGGATCATGCCAGGACGATATGAAAGTCAATCGAATCAATTTGAGGTTTATGGTTTAAAGGATGACGCAAGGATGATATGAGGATAATTCAGATCAATTTGGGTTCAGGGTTTAAAGTTGGTTTTTTTTTTTGGTTTGGCTGAATATTGTAAATGTGGGTGCAGATAGTGAAGAACACGACGGCCAGCAGGAGAGGCGGAAATGGCAGTTCAAATGCAGCAGACGGAACGCTCTAAGGAGTGGCCGAGTATAGAATTTATTAGGGGATTCAAAAAAAAATCTTAAAATTTACGCTTTAAAAAACTCTATTGGCAATGCAAACGTGTCAATTGAACATTGGCTCTAATTGTAATCATAGAGTAAATTATCTAAAAACTGATGATATAAAGTATTAACTGAGGTAAAGGTGAGTTGAAACAAACTTGTAAGAGTCGACAATATCTCAAAGATTTAATGTTCTTATGAATTTTGCATCAAGATGCTTATTGGATAAGTGAGATTAATTTAATTCATCCTGTAAATCATGTACCCTACGTAACGATTAGATGTGCACATTTGTCGGATTTCAATCCGATCCGGTTTTTTCCCATAAAAAAAAAATCGGTTTATAAAATAATCGGTTCGGTTTCTAATCGATTTGGAGGGTTGGATATTCTAATCGGTGTAACTGGTTTCGGTTTTAAAAAAATCGGTTTTTTTAAAAAATCGGTTATAAAAAAATCGATTTTAATATTCTAGATTGTTCATCGGGAACCGATTCTTCCCCCAAGGGGGTACCGATTCCTCACTGAATGGTTTGGTTTCGAGATTTCTAGAATGCTCGGAGGGAACCGATTTTCCCATAGGGGGTATCAATTCCCCTTATTCAACAGTCGAAATATTTGAATTTTACACTTAGGGAACCGATTCCCTATGAGAGGAAACCGATTCCCTATGAGAGGATATCGATTCCCCCACGCTCGAAGCATTTTTATTAAATGTTTTCACACTTAAACGGTTATATTATCTTCATTAATTATCACTAACATTCAGAAGTGATTCAAGGTGTATTTAAGTAAGCTTAGAAGCCATTGATCAAAGACAAGAAACATCAAGCAACTAGACTCAAGAGAGAATCAAAGAAAAATCATCAAACCTCAAGTTCGATAAATTCAAATACTTAATTGAAATACTTAATTAACTCAACATAATTGAAATATTTAAATACTTCCAAGTTTAATAAATTTAAATACTTAAAAACTTCCAAGTTCGATAAATTCAAATACTTAAAAACTTCAAGTTCGATAATTGAAACAAAGTTTACGATAATTGAAATAAAGTTATAAAATAAACTACATTGCCATCTCTTCTTCATCATCTTCGCCTTCTTCGTTTGGAGGGGATATTCCAAGTTCGACTTCTTCAATGTGTAAGTTTGCTTTCAAATCGGCATCAATTGCATCTTCTAGGGTGGTGATATGTTGCTTACGAGCCGTTCCATCCAAATATTCCTTTAAACAAATGCATACTTCCACCGACTCGGGACTTAGTCTTGATCTCCGTTGCGATATAACCCTGCCACTAACAGAAAAAGCGGATTCCGAAGCTACCGTAGAAGCTTGGACGGTTAGTAAATCACGGGCCATGGCGGCTAGAATCGGAAATTGTGCTTCATTTTCTTTTCGCCAAGCCAAAATATCCAAATTTTCAAACTCTTCAAATGTCATTTTTGATAGAAAATCGTATGACATGTAATTTCCCAACTCGCTACTTGGGGTGGTAGTACGTGATCGTTTGGATTGGGAATTTACAAGAGTGTTAAAAAGATTCAAATTTATGTTACTTGGACGTCTACTAGATGATTCCGCATTCATTCTCATTTGATCGTGTATTACACTACTTGATCCGTATTTAGTTAAATAAATTGCAAACATGTATCGAAAACATTTGTTAAAATAATTTATTTGGTTTTGGACAAAGTTGGGTTCATCATCGGTTAGATTAAAAGCAAACGCAATTTGTTCAATTAGTGTTTCAACCCCACCAACATTTAACGTTGGGTTTAAAGCGGCGGCACAAGTAAAAATGGGGGGAATCTCCTTAAAATATTTTAAAAGTTTTTCCTTCATTGCAAAGCCAATTTCTTGAAAAACTTCGGTTTCAAATTCAAAGTCATTCAGTCGGGTAGCCAACAAAAATATTTGATTAAGAACCAACGGACTAGTAGGGTAATAAACACCGGATAAAAAAGTTGTTGCATTTTTAAAAACCTCAAGCAAATCGGTTATTTTGGCTATAGTTTCCCAACTCGAATCCGGATAAATGTTTCGGACATGACCCCTCTCGAAAAGCCGATCGTGAAATGTTTGCAATGTTTCCCTTTGCCTTAAGGCAATATGCATCATCATCCAAGTTGAGTTCCAACGAGTTGGACAATCCAAATTAGGACCCAAAGCTTTTTTATTAACGGACTTACAAAATCGTTTATAATCATTTAGTCTTTTGTTGTTGTTACAAAGAACCGATTTTATCATTGTTTTAAATTCTAATCTAATCGGCTCAATAACCTCCAAACCGGCTTGCACGGATAAATTAATTATATGTGCAACGCAACGGGTATGAAAAAACGCACCGCCTAAAATCGATGAAAGTAATATTTTCAATCTTGGAACCGCGTTTGTATTATTCGATGCATTATCAAAGGATATAGAAAAAACTTTATTTTCTAATTTATAAAGACAAATTACCCTTTTTAAAAGTGTAAATAAATTAGCACTGGTATGCGGCTCACCGAATAATTCAAACGCGATTGTTCTTTTCATCATTTGCCAATTATCTTGATCTAACCAATGTGATGTAACGGCTAAAAAAGAATTTCCGGTATTATGAGGGGAACTCCAAACGTCACATGTAAGCGACACACCATAACGGTGTTCTTGGAATCCTAAAATCATTTTTTCCCTCGCCGTACGCCACATTTTATAGCATCTCTTCTAAGGGTAGTACGACTTACTTGAGTATAACGTGGTTGCATTAGTTGTTGAATTGTTGTCGTGAAATCTTCATCATCAAAGTGGTCGAACGGCAATGCTTTTGTAATCACGAACTTTGTAAACGCTTCTCGTAATTTTTCATTGTCGTAAACAAAAATACCACCTTGCGGTGTAAGATTCGATTGACTAGGATCCGATCTTGAGCGAAGTGCCTTGCATGATTTTGTCAAATGGTTCTTCAACGTTGTGTTTCCTTCCGATGCAAGAAACTTTAGATAAAGTTTACAACGCGCCCTCCTCGAGCCATTTGACATCTCACATAAATCGTAGTGATCCCAAATGTCTTTGTTTCGAGTGTGTTCGATCACTCTCACGACTTCAATGTTTCCCCCGACGGAAGATTCAGCCGTGTTACTCATATTGAACAAAAAATTACAAAAATAAGATTTGAGAGATGTTTAAGTGTTGTGTAATAAGATTTAAGAAATTTGTAATCAACCAAATACATCCCCAACCTATTTATACATGTTTAGGGTGGTAAAATGGTAATTTTTTAAAAGAAAAAACGGTCAAAATTGGTCACAAAATCCCCCCCAACGGCTAGCTTTTAAACCAAGACCGTTTTTTTTCCAGATAAAAACCGGTTTTTTAACCGGTTTTTTTCAAACCGGTTTTTTATCCGGTAAAAAAACCGGTCTAGGTTTTTTTCTCCAAACCGGTTAAAATAACCGGTTTAAAAAAATCATATCCGGTTAAAAAAAAAACCGGTTTTTCCCAAATCCGGTTTCGGATATTTTTTTCGCAAAATCGGATATTCGGATTTTTTGTGCACCCTTAGTAACGATAAGAGTATTTGTAAATTCAAATCTTATTCCCCTACTTATTGAGAAGACGAAGGGTAACCTATTATCGAACGTGCTAATCTTTCTCTCAATATAAATTTTTTTATTTTTTTGAAAATAGGTAAGATCAACTATTAATTTCATCGAGAGTAACAATGTTTTCAATATAATTTGCGACATCCAACACAAACCACAACATAGATTAACAATCAAATACCTATTGAGCTACCAACAAACATTGAGATACTAACAATCGATCTAATGAGACGATATTATATTTCTTAAATAAAAGTTAAAGGTTTGTATTTTGACATTACGAAATAAATAAACTATGTTGAAATGGTTGTCATCATCTTTGTAATATACGATCTGAATTAACACATATTCTGAGTTAATCGATTAAAGAATAAAAATCGGTGGTTATAAAAAAATGCCCATTGAGCTTTTCTAGGCGATGTCTTTTTCTCTCCATTCGGTTGCTCCTGTCCTAATTTTCTTATATTGTTTTCTATCGTTGACGGTGACGCTAGTTTTGGATTTAATGTCAGCAGTTGATTTTTTTTCTTCGCTCTTCATTTTTATTTTTCTTCAAACTGTTGTGACTTTACCATAATTTTTTTGTGTATATATGAATTATATTATTTATTTTGTTGAAACAATATTATCCTTTTTGTATGAGAATGGTTGATGGTTTTGTATATGCTCTTATAACATGTTCTTTTTTTTATATATATAAAACATAAACTTGCAGCAAAATTAAGGAGTATAAGCTGCCTCCTGCGATGAGTTGTAACAACTCTTCTGGGGTTCAAAGAACAGTCAACCTCTTACAGGTGAGCCGCGAGACAATGCAATCAAGTAATCTACAACTGAGTTTATCTCTCTTCGAACAAGTTGCAATCTAATCTCCCATTTTCGATCTACCACTGTTTGAATAGCCTCCATAAGTGTCGTTCCCTGCAATGGATTCGGATGTTCCTACAAATTACATAAGGCATCCAAGCAATCCGTCTCAATTTCAACATGACGATAGCCAAGTCTCGAAGAGTGAGTCAAGGCATCATGAATCGCCCAAAGCTCCGCTTGTAATGCCGGACAATCACCTAAACTTCTAGAAAAACCAAATAGCCACTCCGTTTATCATTACGAACAACTCCCCCAACAACAGCCGTGTTATCGCTGAAACGAAGATTCCATCCGCATTCACTTTAACCCATCCTTCCAAAGGTCGCTACCATGAAGCATGGTTTATGTTGCGATTAACAGTCATTCGACGATGCTGCCTCCCAAAATAATCTCTACAAAATTCTTGCTTTTCACAAGGATATTATCAAGCTCAATAAAATTACTATCGAAAAGCTTCAAATTTCGTAGCTTCCAAATATTCCAACAAGTAATAGAAAAGAAAATATTCCAGTTATAAATGCTGATAGCTTGACTTCCATCACTATAT